ATCGAGTAAGCGGTAACACGGGACCTCAAAGTTTACTTTTTAAGGAAAATCCTTAAATGAAATCCATACAATTGGTGTTTTCAGGGAAGACCAGGACTTCCAGGGCTAGCAGGTCCGCCGGGTCCCAGAGGCCCACCCGGTGAACCGGGACGAGCCGGATATCCTGGACCGCCCGGTGAAGGAGGTATCAACTCTATCAACAGGAAAGGTGATCGAGGAGATCCAGGTCGCGCTGGATTACCAGGCTCACCGGGTTTTCCGGGATTACCTGGACCGAAAGGCGTTAAAGGAGATCCAGGGCCATATGTAAGTTGCAGTTTGCGATTTTGTTCTTTCCTACAAAAATCTGAGAGCGGTCGCTGATAAGCCGTACTAATGAACTGCAAAACTGGCTTGCATTTTCATACTTTGATCAGATGTTGTTTCATCATCATGTTTCTATTCGGCGTTGAAGTAGCTGGCAGCTTCTCCATTCCCTTCTATTTTGAGCTTTTTTCAATCACATACCGTTCAATTGTTGATTCTTTTACCACAATGACCTTACGTGGTTACCATCCAATAATCCGCCTTGTCCATTTGTTATTTTTAATTCTTCCTGCCACATGACCAAAATACTGAATTCACAATAAATTTGGGGTTCTCGAATAGTGTCCAGCATAAGACTGAACTAAAGATTCCACGTCGGTTGGCGTTTGCAACTTAAAAAGTATGTCAGTTGTAATTCTTTTTGTTAATACTGCATTATTATACAAATATGTCTGCTTTAAGTAATTTTCCACGGCGAAAAGATTTCAGGGACCGCCAGGTTTTCCCGGTCCGCAAGGTCCAAAAGGACGGATGGGAACGCGAACACCGGGTGTGAAAGGCGAAAAAGGATTAGCGGGACCACCGGGACCACCTGGACCGCCGGGAACTTTTGCTGGAGCATCCGCACCGGAAGAAACTGAAGTCATCCAGGGGCCTGCAGGACCACCAGGTAAACACTGGCTGAATATTGCGATGAAGCACGCTATCTACACACTATAAATTTATAATAAACTAGTTCTAATACCCTGCATGCATTTTCACTGGTACTCGGAGAGGTTTTTTACAGGTTTGAAAGGTGAAAAAGGACGAGTGGGACCGGTTGGACCTCATGGATTTGCTGGTGCTGATGGGGCACCTGGATTT